TGTCAGAGGACATAACTAGCATGTGTTTACCCCATTTCTTTTGTATGGGCTCAGCAGCATAGGCCAACACGGTTAGGCCGTGTTAACCCTAAGTATTTTGTATGGCAAGGGTTCTTTTTTAGCGATCTTTGGTTTTTTTCACTTTAGTTAGGGCCATTACTCTCTCATTACCTAAAAATACTAAAAGAACATAAAAGCACATAAAATTGAACTAAATAATAAAAGCATATAAAATTGAACTAAACAATAAAAGCACACGAGAAAGCGGGAAGAAAATAAGCTAAAAGCATAATGCAATAATCACTTATCACATGCCTAGATTGAATCTGATATTTTCATATGTATTTCGTGGGAGAGATTTAGTTAGGGTGTCTATTATTTTATTGCATGTTGATACATGATCAATACTTATAATACCATTGTTAATCTCCTCCTTTATGAAATGTCAGACAATTTCCGCGTGTTTTGTTCTATCATGGTGAACTGGGTTCTTTGCGATTCTGACAACATCTTTTTTGTCACAATATAACCTTATGGTGTAATTGCTTTGAATTGTAATTCCACCCAGTATCTTCTTCATCCAGAATCCTTCATAAATGCCTTGTGCCATGGCTTTCAATTCAATTTTGTCATTGCTTATAGCTACCACATATTATTTCTTGCTTCTCCGAGTAACCATGTTTCCCCACACAAAAGAGCAATAGTCAATAGTTGACTTTCTATCTGATATACAACTAGCCCAGTGAGTGTATACTTCAATTTCCTTATTTGAATTTTTTTCTAAAATGAAGACCTCTACCTGGTGTACCCTTAAGGTATTATAGATTCTTATTCACAATTTTCATGCGAGCTTCGGTAGGACTTGTGATGTAGAGAATTTCCATGCTCACAACAAATCCAATATTATGCCGAGTAATTGTTAACTAGATTAATTTCCTAACTAGACTTTGGTGTCTATCCTTTTTAGGTTGAGGATTTTCTTCGAAGTTGCATATGCTTATCAATTCCATAAGAGTGTTAGCAACCTTACACCCAAGCATTCTAATTTCTTGGAGTAAGTCTAGGGTTTTTTTCCTTTGAGACACATATATTCCCTCCTTTGTACGTCCTACTTCCATATCTAAGAAATAATTAAGTTTCCTCAAGTATTTCACTTCAAACTCTCTAGCCAAGAGTTCTTTTAAGTATTTAGTTTGCTCATGATCATCTCTTCTGATAATAATATCATCAACATACACAATAAGTAAATTTACCTTCCCTTCTAATGAGTGTTTGAAAAGCATAGTGCGATATGGTTGGCCTTGTATATATCTATCTTCTTTGACAACTCGAGTTAGTCTTTCAAACCACACTCTATGGGATTGCTTGAGACCATACAGGATTTTCGAAGCTTGCACACCTTGATTAAAGTGTTGGATGATTCAAGTCCTGGGGGAATTTGCATGTATACTTCCTCTTTCAACTCACCATTTAGGAAAGCATTTTTAATGTCTAGTTGATGTAGTGGTCAATCCAAGTTTGTAACTACAGATAATATGACTCGTACTAAGTTAAGTTTGACCACTTAAGCAAATTTCTCTTCATAGTTTATGCCATATGATTGGGTGAAACCCATTACTACCATTTAAGCCTTATATTGGTTTATGCTCCCATCATCATTGTATTTAATTTAGAATATCCACTTACATCCGACTTGTTTCTTCCCTTCTGGTAGAGCAGTAATTTCCCAAGTGTTATTTGTAATCAATGATTTAACTTCTTTTGTAATAGTTGCTTCCCACTCAGGTTGTTGAAGTGCTTCTTGAATATTTTTTTAAATATGACACAAATCTTTTGATGGGATGTTCAATGCAAGTTATATTCCTATTTATTAATGTAATAGGAACAACATCATTGTTATTTAAACTCGTACGAACAAGTTCAGAGTTAGGAGCAATTTTACCTGAGGAGATTCCATTTTCTAGAGTTCGGTCAAATTCATGGCTTTTGCACCGGAGTAGTGTTTGACTATACTACCTGTTCATTTTTCTTCCACATAGTGTAAACTTTTCACTTAGATTTTTGTGTAGTACTTCTGACATGTACAGTTTCAAGGACATGTTAGGATGGTTTTGTGGGATTTTGTGATTCAACTAGTGTGAATTTTTCTGGTTCGATTGGTGTAGAATTTTCTGATTGTGATTGTGCAAATTTTATGGTTGCGTTGATGCAAAATTTACTGATTCTACTGAATTTATCAGTTATATTGGTGCATAATTTACCAATTTTACTGGTGCAATTTCAAGGGCATATTCAACCATCTCAAATTTTAAAAATTTGAATTTTGTTGTTTTGTTCAAGAATAAGGTGTTCTCCCCCTGAATTCCAACTTTGGAGTAATATGGTTGATTTTCAAAGGTCACGTCCATATTATGGTAGAATTTTCTTGTTGTATGATAGTAACACTTATATCAATTTTTGTGAGATGAGTAGCCAATAAAAACACATTTTATGGATTTTGGGTCAAGTTTGCTACAATGAGGTTGAGATTCTGAATAAAGACTGAACACCCAAATATTTTAAATGGGATTGAGTTGATAATTTTGTAGGTCGAAAAAAAGGCTTGGATAGTAGAATAAGGTGAGTCGAAGTTGAGGATACGAAAAGACATCCTATTTATGATATAGGTGGATAAAAGGACATCCACTCCCCAAAAATATTTTGGTACATTTGTTTCTAGCTCAAGCTTTTGCGGGCACAGACATTAACATAATTTTATGCATTTTTAGTCTTAAAAGGTGCAATGCTCACATGTCCGCCCAACCCTACCAGCATTTTAGTGCGAGGCAGGTTAAGGTTTTAGACCTGCACCCTTAACTATGTTTGTCCCGCCCCACCCTATTTTTTTGTAGTCATTTGTGGAACGAGCCTAAAAGGGGCGAGCATGCCCATTTTCCACCCCTAATTATATCTCTCGTCATGTGATTTGAGGCTCTTGAATCTATGATCCATGATTTTGTTTTTTCTTTGCTACTGTGTAAAGAATGAAAATTTTACTTTTTTGTACGATTGTAGTCGTATAGTTTTTTCATGCGTAATAGTTTGCTGGAACATTTTCTGCATTGTGTCCATTTGTTCTTTGTTGAAAGGAAAATTTCATTCCACCTCTTCGTATATATTCAATTGTTGTTAATATCAACTTTGGATGTTGAAGTAGTTTGTGACAGAGGAATCCCCATGTTTTAGATTATGGAGGAGGCTTTTAACTTCGAAGATGGCAGATGTGTTATCCATATTGGTGTTCATCCCTTTATCTGTGTCCCACATCTCTTTGACATTATCATAATATATGAAATTTTCTCCAATTTCATTTTTCATGGATTTGAGGATCCATGACATGACTAAATTGTTTTCCTGTTGCCACTTTTGGAGGTTGGGTTCTCCTTTCTTGGGTTCTTTTGAATCCCATGTGACATATCCCTCTTTCCCTTTTTCTTGAAGAAAAAGTCGGACAAACCTCTCCCATCAAAGATAATTTTGGCCATTTAACTTATGACTATTGACGAGAAGTGCAACCTCATTTATTAAGTTGACAAAATTTGTGTCATCCACAGACCTTCTATTTTCTCTCCTTCCATAATTGGGTCGACAAAAAAGATTAAGAATTGTCTAGATCTTCTGATATCATGCAAAAAAAATGATTGTTTTATTTCCTTTATTTTTAAAATTGATTAGATAAAGAATAGGTATAGGACAGAGAATTTAATTTGTATAATCAAATCCTATTGAAAATTGATTCCTTATAAATACTATCCTATCCTAAAACAGAATTAAAATTAAAAATGCAATCCTAATTATTACTTCTCACTCTCTTTTTAAGTGTTATTTTTTTAATAATTTTTTTTTTTTTAATTGTCACTTGTAAAATTAAGATAATACTAATTGCACTTTTGTCAAAATTACTCATATTTAATTATTAGAGAGAGCTAAAAAATAAAATTAATATATAATGATTAAGAATATTATAGATAAAAAAATTGTTATTATTTGAAAAATAATACTCTCTCCGTTCCACATTAAGTGACCAAGTTGACTTTTCACACAGATTAACAAAAAAAAAAGAATAAATGAAGGAGAGAAAATGATATTTTTATTAAAATACTCTTATGATATATTGAGAATGATGAAAATAATATTAATTAAAAGATAAAATACGGAAAATTGCATTGAAAATTGAAATGAGTCCTACATTTTGGGACACTATTTTATTTCAAATTGATCACTCATTGGGGAACGGGAAGAGTAATATTGATTTAGTTCATGTGAAAAGTAAAAAAAAAAAATAACAATTAAAAAAGAACATAGAAAGTACATACTATTATACATCTGATTATGACTTCGTAATTAACCATCTTTCAACAACCAATGATCATCTTAAACTTGCAATGCATACATACACAATAGAGGAGAAGATAGGATTGATAACAATAGTGGCTAGATTTTCGGACGAATCACCCAAAGATATGTGTAAAATAAACGATACATACTTAAAAATGACTAATATACCATTAATAGGCCAAATAATAAATTATAGTACATTTTAAAGGTAAGATTGAAGTCCGAGTAAAGAAAAGATAAAATTGAAGTCAGTTTCAACTCTGGAAAAGCAAAGGATGATTTGAAATAATAGTGTCATTTTTCTATTAATATGCCTTCCTATCACAAATGTAATATAACACTTCATTCAATTGAATATTAATCAACTTAATGTTTTTTTTATTATTTAAATCCTTCAAAGTAAATAAATTAAATACAAAATAAAATATCTAAATTAATGCAGATACAACTCGTCCACTTTTCCATCATACATGATTCCATAACTCAACATTTTTCTTCATAATGTTCCTTTCCCTTTCCTACATAAAGGGAAAGGAAAATTTTCAACACATTTTACTGATCCAATGAATCATTTATGGCTCCAGCATATACAGTGTATCTTCAAAGCAGCAGGATACCCCAGGCTAGGCATTTACATCGGGAGTGCGCAAAAGGATGATGGAAGAGTAACTAAGCATGGGATACATATTGGCGTCAAGAAAATGAGCATACTGTTGTATTGCAATATCTCTTCCAGGAAGATCAGGCGTGAGGAAATCATATGGTGCAGATTTGCTGGTGTCTATGAGAGGTTCCCATCTGTATCCTGGACGCTCTGGCAAGTTAACTGTGAAAGGTAGATGACTCGTATTGAAAGCAATGTAAATTTCTCCCTTTACCGAGTCCACCTGAGTTGATTTTCATGCCAAATAAGGGGGGAAATTAGTCGTATATGTAGTATCCAAGCAGAGTTACTCAAGAAGACAAATAAGTTCAACACATAGCAGTTTCAGTGTACTAAAACAGCTTAAGGGATAGAACATATTAAGGAAAAAGGTTGACAGTAAACGAAGCTACTGGGAGGTCAAAAGTTCTAGTGATGCTAATCTGGGCAGGACAGCTTTGCATGAGGGGTATTAGTATCAGTCCAGGACCAGCTCAACCTATATTTCATACCACGTGACACCATAACATAACATTATTAAACATTTGCCACTTCAAAACAATGGCCGAGAATAAAATGCTTCTTTTTTACATGTGTTCAAAATGAAATTGGAGACGTAGAAAACAGTCAGAATAGGAGATCTAACTTTTCTCAAGTCAACATGCATCTCTGTCAAGGGGATTTCTATTCTAAGCATATAATTACATTGTCCTTGCAATAGCTTTATCATGCTGATTATTCCTAAACCTAGCTAGGCGTATAGATACTACTATCTCAAAAAAGGCTTTCTATTGTTGCCAGAAGTAGAGTAGCTTTAGCCCAATTTGTATTTCAACTTAAAATTAAGTAAATCTGTAGATATTCTAAATTGATGGTTAGTATCTATAATATAGAACTTCCTAGATTAGTGCTTATTCATTAGACAATCGTTGTATTTACTGTATCGCAATTATAAATACTAGTTGTGTGGTATGAGTATAGACACAAACATTACAGAAAGTAATAAGGTTCTTTGTAAGAAATAATAGTGTCACTTTATCATAGCACACAACTTGTATTTATAATAGTGTCACTTTGTAAGAAATAAGGTTCTCTCAGGAGGAATCCTAACTAATTTTGTTGGTTCAAATGATCAATTGGCTGACATTTTTAATAAACCTTTGAGAGGATCTTGGGTTGAATCTGTTTGTAAAGTTTGGTGCATATGATATGATATGCATGCTGCAGCTTGAGGAGGAGAGAGTAGAATTAAGTAACTTTGTAGATATTCAGAATTGGTTGTTAGTATTAGAATATATAACTTCCTAGGTTAGTGCTTATCCACTAGGTTAGTGCTTATCATTGCAAGATTATTTCAACTTTCTTTTCCTCAAGTGTTTATTGTTCATTGTCAAACATGTAGGCTAAAGGTTTGGTTAGTGCCGAGAGGAAACATGTTCTAACTCTAAATTTTAGGTAAAGACCATCCGGAATAGATCCTACGATGTGATTCCATAGCTTTTTGCCAGTAACAGAATTCTTATATCCCTTTGTCAACTTACCAGGGTAAAAGCCACAAAACGGCTAGTTTCAGACCAGTCAGGAGTTGCAGGAAAAAGACCATGCCACTGCAGCCTCTCTGATGTTGGGAAGTCATCTAAGCCAAGCGATTCACATTCCCTGCAGAACTACAGCGTTAGAACATGCAAAAACTACTAGAGTCCAAGAAGAATGCAAAAAAGTGCTTACTGGCGAAACTTGACCAAAAGGCTGCAAAATCTGAAAAAGTCTGATGAGGATTCTTCCTTTTTGTCCCATTGGAAATAATTAAGCTGCAAAAAGGCTGAGGATAAGTTTATGGAATTGACAATATGGTGGGATGTGCATTGAAAAACTCTAGTAGATAAGAGGATCACATAATTATCATGACAGTAGGTATTGTTGTTTCCCCCTTTTGTATGTCCATATTCATCACCCATGTGTATCATTGGAACTCCCTGATAAGATAAACTAAAAGTCAGTATGCAAACCTTTGTTGTCAACAATATCATCTACATTTAATCGGAATAACTTAATGAATTTAACAACAAAACTGATAAATATTTATTGAAAAACCTATCATTTTTGTTACGTTGACTGGGCCTTACCTGGGAAACCATGAGAGAAAGAAAGAAATTACGCATTTGTCGTTTCCTCAATTTCTTTACTGAGGGACTGACAAACTCCCCCTCCTACATTAATTTGAGAATAAAATCAAAGTTTAATATAAAATCATTTAATTTCTGTGTAAGTAGATTATGATTCTAATACTTTGAGGGAACTATTTGAAGGGTTCAGAAAGTGAGGTGTGCCGTGTCCCTTTAAGCAGTAATTATTTAAGCCCAAAGTGCTTTATATGTGCTAGCGTAAACACACAGAAGGGAGATAATAGATACGACATTCTAGCCACAGTTTAAAAGCTTAATTCATATTGGTTTTTAGATGGTATAATTAACATTGTAATATTAATGATATTGAGACTGGTCTAGTAAATCTCGTGATGATGTAACACAAAGCAGTAGGAAACAAAATTAGAAGGAAAAATTATTTTAATGCAACTCAAGCAGGTTTCTAAACACCTACCTCTCCACAGTTCCAGCTATTATTATGATTTTCTCCGTCATTATTGTCTTCACCATTGGGCAAGTTATGCTTGCTGTTATAAGTCACCAAATCAGCTAGAGTGAAGCCATCGTGAGCACATACAAGGTTAATACTATTCCATGGTTTTCTTCCTCCCTGTGCCAAAAATATAGAGTAATGTCTTCCACACAAAAGAACAAGGTAGAAATATATAGAATATCAAAAGAAACCCAAGAGCATTAAAATTTAGCTGAAATAAACACCAATCCCTTGACAATAAAATATATTGAGCAAGTTCAAAGACAGTCAAAGAGGATGTTTAAGTGTATACACATGAAATCAATAAGAAAAACAATACAAAAGTCAATGATTAAAACTAAAATAATCATCATATCAATAATATAATAGAAGTAGGAGTATCCAAAGGAACTGCTACTACAGTGTGACATGAGACAACAAATAAACCTGATACAAACTAGGACTCCCACACACACATTCGGCAAATGCTCCAGCAAAGCCATCTGTGCCTTTGATAAACTGGCGTACTGTGTCTCTATACTGAAAAATTCAAGAATGGCACATTAAATTAAAATAGCTCGTAGATATCCCAAAAGTGCATTTATAATATACAAAAGTGCATTTATAATAGACAATTATGTTACAGAGATTTTGCTTATACGGAAAGTAATGAACTGCATAGAGCATGTAGTGTACAGGAAAATAACACTAGTCAAAGGGATTAAGCTTATAAGGGATTAAATTTTTTAATAAACTGAGGCAATGGAAAAATATGCTCTATATTTTTCATTTATTTAATTAGAGTTATATACTATCATCCAAAGACGGGTCCAAGTTGTGAGTTGTGTTGACAATGGTCTACACTTAATTTTGAAAAATAATATTTTTAATACTTTATACAATAAAAAATGATGTGACAAAAAAAAACTATATCAGAAAATAGGATTGTTGAGAAGTGAGTTGTGTTGTAAAAAAAACAAGTGTGAGTTTTAAATCTCACATTACTTAGAAAAGTGGAGGTTGAGCCATTTATAAGTGAGAGAACTCATACACCTATCACCGTAAGATTTTTGGTGAATATGTGGTGTCTCTCTCACTTGTTTGGGTGAGTCTTTGACCTTTAGGTGAAAGTTTGACCCAATGTGAATGCTTCAAATTTTTAAGTTACTAGTGTGACATGGCTGAGTGGTAAATTCCAATTGGATGACATTTGCCTTAAATTCAATCTATATTATAGATTGTGTTTCCACTATTTTTTTTTTTTGTTTTATATTTTTTATATATATGAGAAAGTGTTATAAAAGTCATTAAATATATTTGAATAACAAACAAACTTAAATGCTTCTTTTATTAGTTATTTTGGACATTAAACATTTTCAGTTAATTAATTTAGTCTTTTATATTTTTCACTAAATAACTTGATCTATACATTAATAATAGTAAAACACGCATTTGGATATGTGTTTGTAATTTTGATAAATTTAAATATCTTAGTGGCAATGCAGCATGTTAGTTACAATGTTATGAGTCCATTGAAGCTATGCTACTACATCCTTGGTTTTTCAAGTCACATAATAATAAATAAGTTTTTGAATCCAACAATTGTATGTCTGCACTAACCTTCCCATTCCATTCCGACCAAATACCCCAGTGAGGGAAAGTGCCAACTTGGTAGAGACCTCCAGCATCCCAGGCTTCGGCTATAAGCTATAAAGGAGATCGTAAGAAACAGAGCATATATTATCTTACTGCTTTTAGAAAACTGAAACTAATCTATATCATAAATAATGATTGCAATGACCAATCAAAATACTTTGAGGGATGCCCGAGTCAAGCTGACTACTTGCCTACTGTCGTTAGGCAATCAATCTAGGTGAGGCTAGAACATAAACAGCACCTAGAAGGAAACACTACCTTAAAAGGCATCCTATTATATGCGACTATTCAAGTGCCAAAAGTGAAACTAGTTAATAACTATTAACGTTAAGTGCCTAATAGGATTAAACTGACTATGATAGGAAGATTTAGGATAAACTGAAAGAATGAAGAATGCAGGACAATGCTGCCCTTTGTAATTGAATGTAATCTGGTCAATGCTGCAGGAGGATACAATGAGGCAATCAATGGTGGGCTGCTTAGAGGGATTGCAGTTGTAATTAATTTAATAGAACTATGTAAGTAGAAAAACCTTCACTCCACGAAGTATTGGATCGTTACTGATCATATCAATCAATGGTGGGCTGCTTAGAGGGGTTCCAATTGTCAGCATGTCGCCTTCTATTGGAGTACCAAATACATTAACTCCGTTCCATAGACTGGTAACAGACAGGAATTGAAAATAAGTACAATAAGATGCATCATTCAATTTCAGTACCAACTACTAATGCATTATATAGTGTGTGTATATATATATATATAACCTGCTACCCCGGGTCATGATGGAAGCAAGATCAAAGCGAAAACCATCAACATGCATTTCTGCTACCCAATATCTGTTGCACGAGAGAAAATTAATAAGGTCTTCAATCTTATATGGAAGCAACTTCTAACCCCTTGTAAATAAAAATTGAACAAATCTGACAAGTGTGCAGTGAAATAAATTTAAAGAATATACAATTATATACTAAAAATATAATGGAGCAAAAGACATAACATTGTTAAAGTAAATTATGTTAGAAGTGATATGCTACAAAACATAAAATCATTAATCTGGGATTTATATATGCATGTAAGTTTAGGGAGTGGCAATGTATACAAGCATGTAAATGCCAATAGACACAAAAAGTCAACAATCTTTTGATAACTGGCAAAAGGTTTTTCAATTGAGAATTGAAAGAGATAATATACATTAAAAGGTTCAAAATGAATTATTTTAAAATTAAAATACTTCATGAATAATTTTGTAATAAAAGCATATCCTTGATAATCATTGTAAACATACCTTAAGCAGTCCACTATGAATTTCCGTACAACTGGATGGTTGCAATTGAATGTGTTCCCGCATCCTGAATAATTGTAGAATTCCCCCTAAAGACATGAAAGTGGGCCTAGTTGACATTACCAATGGTTTAAAAGAATCAAAAAATGAAGAAATAATTAAATTTGAAAACAGCCAAAGAACAATTAAAACTCAATCTGCATACTAAGTACAAGCCTTAAAAAGTAAATACAGTATTTTGAAATAATAGTGTTGGCTAACAAAGATTTCTGATTTGCTGGATGGATGGTATTTAACCCTGATTCTTAGCTGTTATCATGCAGGAAAGTAAGAACTTTCTTTTCTCATTGGAATTCGGTATCCTCTAGCGTTCTGTTACTTCTGTATACTTAATGCACTAACCTATTGAAGCATGATGTGTCGCCAATAAATTAGAACTCAATCCCAAATTAGGTGTACCAAAAATAAAATATGCTAAATGGATTTATATGTATCAGTAATAAATAAATTTGAAAAATGATAACCGTCAACTTTTTTTGGAAAATTATGAAAAAGATATTTTTGGTTATTAGGAGTATTTAGTCATCCTATTTTCTAGTAATTAGATTAATCTTTATTATTCTAGTTGTTATGGTTGTTAACAATTTTTCCTAGCTCTTTCTTTCTAGCCCTATGTAAGTCATTGTATCCTTTGAATTAATGAGAAATACAATCTTGTTCCATAACTTGTTTCTCTGATATGGTATCAGTGGTATCTTAACATAAAAAACTTTCTTTTTTTCTTCTTCGTCGCCAATGGAAGACGGAAGTTCTTCACCTTCGTCCGATTCACACCATGATTCTTCGATTCATCATACAGAAGATCCATCTTCATCTCATTCTTCTCCTTATTACATTCAGCCCGGAGAAAATCCAGAAATGGCTTTGGTCTCACCGCAGTTGAACAACAGCAATTACCACACATGGAGCCGTGGTATGAAGCAAGCGCTTCATGCAAGGAACAAGTTGCAATTCATCAATGGAGAATTACCACCATTACCGGAATCTGATCCTCTTTATGATACCTGGGAAAGATGTAATAGCCTTGTAATCTCTTGGATTCTTCGATCTATCACACCTTCAATCGCTCAAAGTGTGGCATGCATTGAAAATGCTAGGCTTCTTTGGGAAAAATTAAAGAAACAATTCACCAAAGGCAATCACTTTTGCCTCTTGGACCTTTTGCAAGATATTCACTCTGCGAAGCAAGGTGAACGTTCAATTTCCGAATTCTTTGACTCCATTAAAACTTCTTGGGAAGATCTTGAGGATCTTCGTCCTTTGCCATCATGCTCTTGTCAAACACCTTGTAATTGCGGTGCATTCGAAATTATCAAACAGCAACGAGACTCCGAGTTGGTGATTTGTTTCCTCAAAGGGTTAGGTGAAAATTACAATATAGTGCGTTCTCAAATTCTTCTCATGGATCCCCTTCCCTCCATTAATGAAGTTTTCTCATTGGTTCTCCAACAAGAATCAAGCCCTACTGTTTCTGCAATTCCAGATTCAAATATTCTCTCCAATGCCTCTGATGCCGGTAACCGCACTCAAGGTCGTGGTTCTAACAATGGCAGTCGTGATCCACCAAAGCAATGCACCTTTTGCACACGTCTAGGTCACACAGTTGACACCTGCTACATCAAATATGGTTTTCCCCCAAGGTATAAACCTAAGGCTCGGTAGATTGTCAATAACAGCACTGTTAAAATCTTAATTCCAAAGTCTCTTCCACTTATGTTGCACATGACTCTTTTAACCCTCAATTGAATGCTGAACAAATCAAGTAACTTCTGTCTTTGTTGGACAATTCTCCCAATCTAATCATGTGTTTGATCACAATGTTAACAATTCCTACATTGATCCACTTCATTCTTCGGTGAATCGTCAAAATTCAACTGCTGAAACAGGTAACATTGATTCTGCAAAAGATTGTTGGATTCTTGATAGTGAGGCAACTAATCATGACACCCATTCCAAAACATACTTCACTTCTTTTCGCAAAATCAATCCTATTAATGTTTATTTACCAATTGTCGTTAAAAAATTTTCTGGCACTGTTGAGTCATCACCTTCTTTGAAACTTTATAATGTTCTCTAATTACCAACTTTTAAATTGAATATTGTCTTTGTTCATCTCCTTATTTGTAATCCTAATTGTACATTAACTTTTCTTGAATCTATTTGCCATATTCAGGAAGTTACAAGTTTGAAGATGATTGGACTTGCTAGACTTCTCAATGGCGTTTACCATATTGAAAATCCTTTGCCTAAAGTTTCATCTAATTTTGCTACCTTTACTGTTAAAAATTCAATTTCTTCTTTTGATACTTGGCTTTATGGATTTGGACATCCCTCAAATAAAGTTCTTGATCAATTGTGTGATGATTTTCCTTATGTAAAATATGATAACAAACACATTTGTTATTCTTGTCATTATGCTAAGAAATGCAAACTACTTTCCCTTTAAGTTCTTCTGTTACTTTACATGTTTCTGATTTAGTTTGTGATGCCGTATGGGGACCTCTTTCGATTCCATCTTTACATGGCCATAAGTATTTCTTAACTATTGTTGATGATCATACTAGGTATTATAGGATTTTATTAATGACCGCTAAATATGAAACAAGATTTTTGTTACAAAATTTTGTATTGGAATTGGAAGAAATAGATAAAAGCTGTTGTAATTTTATTCCTCAGCTAAAGGCTGATTTATATAATGAGAATACAATAAAAATATTTAATTATCTCCTTAATGGAGAATAAAAGAAAATAGATGACAATAAATGTAAACAATTAAATATGGAAATAAAATATTTTCCAACACACACCCCCCCCCCCCCCTAAAGTTGGTGCATAGATATCTATCATGCCCAACTTGTCTATCAAATGCTCAAAGGTAGGTTTTGCCAAACTTTTGGTCAAGATATCTGCAGTTTGCTGACTTGAAGTCACGAAAGGTAGACATATGATTCCAACATCTAACTTCTCCTTTATGAAGTGTCGATCAATCTCAATATGTTTAGTTCTGTCATGTTGAACTGGATTATGAGTTACGCTAATAGCAACTTTACTATCAGAGTACAATTTCAAGGGAAGCTCAACTTTCATCTTAAGTTCTTTTAAGACTCTAAGGATCCATAATCCTTCACAAATACCTTGAGACATAGCTCTAAACTCGGCTTCTGCACTACTCCTTGCTACAACGCCTTGTTTTTTTCTCCTTCATGTCACAAGATTACCCCAAACATAAGTACAGTATCCAGAGGTTGATCTTCTATCGGTGACTGAACCTACCCAATCAATATCGGTGAAGATAGACACATTCCTTTCACTAGTCTTCTTAAAAAATATTCCTTTTTCAGGATTTTCCTTCAGATATCTCAGTATTCTATAGGCTGCCTCAAGATGTTCTTCGAAAGGAGAATGCATAAACTAACTCACTACACTGACTGAGAAAGCAATATCAGGTCAGTGTGTGACAAATAAATCAATTTTTCAACCAATCTCTGATATTTTCCAGTATCAACAGGAACATTACCTTCTCTCCAAAGTTTAGCATTAGGATCCATAGGGGTATCTGCAGGACGACGTCCACTCATTTCTGTTTCTTTCAATAAGTCTAGAATGTATTTGAGCTGTGAAACCACAATACCATTCTTTAACCAAGCAACCTCCATGCCTAGAAAATATCTCATGAATCCCAAGTCCTTGATTTCAAAGTCTGCTGCCAATTTCTCTTTTACCCTTGTCATTACCACTGTATCGACTCCAGTAAGGACAATATCATCAACATAAACAATCAGAACAACAATTTTTCCATCCTTGGAGAATTTTGTGAACAAGGTGTGGTCAGCCTGTCCTTGAATGTAACCTTGATTCTTCATGGACTGAGTGAATTTTTCAAACCAAGCTCTGGGAGACTACTTTAATCCATACAAAGACTTGTTTAGTTTGCATACATTTGATTCAAATATGTTTTCAAAACCAGAAGGAATGTCCATATATACTTCTAGATCACCATTAAGAAAGGCATTTTTAACATCTAACTGATGTAGGTGCCAATCCAGGTTAGCAGCAAGAGATAAAAGAATTCTTATAGTGTTTAATTTTGCAACAGGAGCAAATGTCTCTGAGTAGCTATACCATAGGTCTGAGTGAAGCCTTTAGCCACCAAGCGAGCCTTTTACTTTTCAATTGACCCATCTGAATTATACTTCACAGTAAACACCCATTTGCATCCAATTGTCTTCTTGCCATCTGGTAGTGACGTAACATTCCAAGTTTTGTTCTTTTCAACAGCTTTCATCTCCTCAAGTACAGTTTCCCTCCACTTGAAATTTCTAGAGCAACCTGTACACTATTTGGATATTCTACATAGACAATTTTGAGGTGAGCGCAAACTGAAGACAAATTTGAATATGAAATAAAATTGGACATGAGGTGTTTAGTGCAAGATCTGACAGGTTTTCTAATGGCAACAGGATCATCTATATATTAGGATACAAAATATGACTCTCAGAAACAGAGATAGACTTACCTTTCCTTTTGTTAGGAGGTTGATCATTCCCCAGTTCAGATTCCTGACAGTGTTGAGATGTGGACTCGTCCCTTCGTTTATGGTGCTTTTTCATAAAAACCTTCCCTTTGAAGTGACTCATTATTTTGTGGCATTTCAATTAGATCATCATTATCATCGTTTTCAGGATTCTCATTGTTTTCTACAAGAGAAAATGTAGGCTCGGATTCACAAGTCTCCTTACTCATAACAGGAGTAGAATCAGATACAGAATCATGGCTACTTTTCTATTGGCGCAGATGTAGAAGTCTCAAAATTTTGTGGTACAGGCAAAGATAAATTTTTCAAAAAACTCATGTCCTTAATTTGAAACGAGTCTTCCTTTATCTCCCCCCCTTGAAGATGAGTGTCATCAAAGAAAGGTTTATTTTCCAAAAATGTAACATCCATAGTGACAAACATTTTCTTGTTTTTTGGGTCAAAACATTTATATCCTTTTTGGGTTGAAGAGTATCCAACAAAAACACATTTTAT